TAACAATAGATCTATTCAGCTTAAAGCAGCAATATTAGGTAAAGCAGCTAAAACACAGCAGCATGTATTTCAGCAGTTAAAACAGCAGAGCAATAACAGCAGCTATTGTCAGCAGTCACAGATACTGTACAATTGGCAACACGTACACTGTACAAATATCTCTCCGATAACACCGTACCGCCGTATCAACTCTTGCACTGGCCTCTCCGTCTCGTTCCGGGCTTGCACTGGGTTCAACAGTTCACTACTGGCTTTCTAGAACCGGACGGAACATCGCTCGACGTTTCTAGCTTCGTCACATGACTACACTAGGCTCGTTGTGTCGGACTCGATCACAGACCAAGATCAAGACGCAATCAACTGTACTTGACAGTACTCCGCACTGAACAGTCGTAATGCTCCTACAGAACCATACCGCTGAACTGTGCTGTAGTCGACCGGACTGTAGTGAACCGGGCTCTGAACCGTCTTGACTGGACACCTCCGCTCTTTATATAGGGTCCCTACTGGCTTTCTAGAACCGGACGGAACATCGCTCGACGTTTCTAGCTTCGTCACATGCCTACATGACTACATCTCTCGTGACGCCCCTGAGCTCTGTTCACGACGACGATCCTTCCCGAACCGTTTTGTTGACACTCGACTCGGCTGACCGTCGTAACTCGTCACGGTTGACCGCTCGTCTAGCGCTGGCCTGGGGCAATTTGCGTCGGCTGACTACACTCACACCACTACCCCCATCTGTGCCACCACCAGGTTTATAACAATAGTAATGTTCACAAATTCATAAATCAGATCTTCGTAGATAACCCTACTTCCTGGATAAAGCCCAGTACCGTCCCAGGATCGACATTATCAAAAAGTGTTTTTAAGTTAGTGGCTCTAAAATATTTCTCTCTGACATCCTGGGGCAATCAACGAGGATATGTTCCACGGTGAGGCGAGAGTCACAGTACTCACAGTGGGGGTTTGTCTCTCGTCAGCACAAAAGAGTGCGTGATGTAGGTGTGGCCAATCTTAAGTCTGGACATGGTCGTGCTACCACGCCTTGTCAGACCCTAGATGTGGGCCGCCACCTGACATCCGCCACAATCTGCCTGAGTTTATTGTGAATCTCAGCCTCCCATCGGTTCTGCCACTCTCGATAGGTGGCAGAGGCAATACTTTGTCTCAGGTCCGAGAAGTGAATTTGGGTTCCTGACACCGCATGATTTAGGGCTCTCTTTGCTTCTCTGTCTTCGGCTTCGTTTCCCTCAATGCCAACATGGGAGGGGACCCAGATGTAGGTGACATCCCTACAGTCGGCTGTTATTTGGTCCAACAGCTTCAGGCTCTTATGTACCATATGTACGTCTGTGTAGATGGTGTCACAATCTCCGTAGCTCTCCTGCAGTTCTTTAAAGTGGACTTGTAGTATGCTTGGGTCTGTATTTTCTTTTTTGAAATTAAGGAAGGATAAATTTAATTTGGGTTTATTCATTAGCCAAGGAGGATTCTGAGGGGTCTCTATTTTAGAATTGGTCACTGGGTGGGGTTAAATTTTGGATGGGTTCTCTCATTCGAAGGCCCAACGGCTGTATGACGTTAGGTCTTCGATTGTATAATTCTACCTCTGTGGTGTTAAATATGGAGTCGAAAGCAGGGTTCGTGGGGTTGGATTTTAGCTTGACTATATACTGCATTGCAAGCTTTATCATTCTTATATCCATGGGGAGTTCTCCACATGGAGACGGGATAGGTGATGTACGAAACGTGCCGAGACAGAGACGCAAGGCAGCATTTTGTATTGGTTCCAGTATTTTTAGGTACGACTTCCTTGCTGCTCCATATATTATGGATCTGTAGTCTAGCTTGGATCGAATTAGACTCCGATATAGCAGCAGCAAGGTATCTCTGTCAGCTTCCCAGTCCGTATGGCTGAGTACTCTAAGTATGTTTAATGACTTTTGGCATTTCCTCTTTAAGTTCCTTAATGTGGGGGAGAAAATTAAATTTGGAATCTAGAGTGAGGCCTAAAAATTTTGTAGTATAAATAGTTCAGGGTCTGGGTGGAGTAGCCTTAAATTACAAAAATTCATACTAACTGTTTTGGAGTCCGAAAATTTGAAACCATTATCGTTTGCCCAATTTTGAATTTTGTTTAAATATAACTGTAATTTTCTTTCTAAGGTGTTCATGTTTTTCCCATAAGTAAAAATGACAAATCAAAATACAAAGAGCACTCTATGCCAGGGGACAGAGCATTTATGATGCTATTTATTTTAATGTTGAACAGGGTGACTGACAGAATGCTGCCCTGGGGTACACCCATTTCCTGGTCATGAGTGTCAGAAGCGGAGTTGCCCACTCGAACCTGAAATTTTGTTGACCTTTTTAGCCTCCACCATGGGTCCTATCGATTTGGGCGACTCATGTGCTGCCAGACTCCCCTGGCAGTATCGGAGTCATCCCAGGATTTCAACCACTTTTCATGTACCCATAAGCGCCCCATAAGCTTCAGGTCACGTAGAATGCCATGTTTCCAGGTTGTCATAGGCCTTCTCTATATCTAAGAATACAGCTACTAGATGTTCTCTTCTGAGTAATGCATTTCTAATATAAGCTTCCAGCCTTATCAGGTGGTCAGTTGTTGTCCGCCCCTGCCGAAATCCGCACTGGTAGTTGGAGATCACTTTATTCCTCTCCAGGTACCTGAGATGAACTCCAATTGGTGACAAGGCAGGGAGACCTAGGACTCCCGTAGTGCCTTGGTAAGGAACTCTGCTGTTTGGCGTAGTGCCTCATAGCTTCCATACAAACATAGCGAACCACTCGATACGTCTTCCCACAGCTCGCGGAGCTGCGGAAACTCTTGCAAGACGTGCGCCACCGTCTCTTCTGATTCCCCGCAGTGTCGGCGGGCATCAAAATTTGGTCGAAACCTGACGAAGAACGCACCTATTGGGCAGTGTCCCGTACGCCACTGCGCTATTGTTGTTTGTTCCGACCTTTTTAGTCTCCACCATGGGTCCTATCGATTTGGGCGACTCATGTGCTGCCAGACTCCCCTGGCAGTATCGGAGTCATCCCAGGATTTCAACCACTTTTCATGTACCCACTCTCGTATAACTGTGGTAGCCTGTTGAAACGTACTTGGTGATTTTCGAAGCACGGCCATCGCTCCTTCTCGAGCTAGAGCATCAGCCACGGCATTGCCCCTCACGCCGCAGTGCGAGGGCACCCACTGCATAAAGATGACAGCTCCAATAAAATAGGTGGATGTTATTTGCGGCGCCTAATGCCTCTTCCACCAGTTTGGACTTTCCCCCTAAGCCAGCCATGGCTTGGAGGCAGGATTGGAAATCGGTAACCATTACAACGGTCGTCGCAACGGTTATCTTTTCACGCAATATTTGGAGCAGGTCATTGTGTTAGTTGTCGCCGTTAATTCTGCGTCAAAGCTGCATGCAGCGAGGCCGCATGTGCCTGACAGCTTGTCTGGTTCGTGATCTGGGTAACAGATATAGGCCCCATACCCAGCTCTTACGGGGTCCTTCATGACCGACCCGCCAGTAAATGGCGTTGGCCGGGTAGGTCTTTAATGTGTCCATTGCCATTTTTCTTAGTAAATCCGGGAGTGTGTGTCATTTTGTGGCCCCCTCCAACCCGTGTATGGTTAGATTTATGGGAGGGATGGGCTGTCTCCTCCAGGCCGGGCACGTGCTTATCCGTCGGATTGGGACCCGGTCAGTGGAGAGGCCAGCTTGAGCACTCAAATTTGTTGCGCAGTGCATAAACGATGTCCGTTTTATTCTGTTTTTAACTCTCCACCGAGGTCGGTAGCCCTGGTTCGCACCTTTTGTAGCGTTCCAGGGCCGTTAACACTGCGCGCTCTCTCCTCAGGCTGAGACATTGGACATGATTTCTGCAGAAGTTGGGCTCGTTCTATAGGTGCCGCAAATGAATCTGAGAGCCTGGGCAAGTACACGATCGAGTGATTCGAGGGCCGTCTTGCACGGGCAGGCTCTACTCGATATGGGATCTGACAACCCCCGTGTACAGTGTGCGTAGCATGTCAGCTCGGGCGCCCCACTTGGTACTGGCTAGCTTTCTGAGTAACCCTAACTTCTCCAAGGCCTTTCTTTCAATGTCCTGGATGTGCAAGTGCATTGAGAGCTTTCCATCTAGAGTGACTCCTAGATATTTTGGCGTGTTTTCACGTTGGAGTCGCAGCCCACCGAGTTGGAGCTCGAATGGGGCCCAAAGAATGTCGATTCCCAGGCTGAACAGGCACCAGGTCGTTTTGGCAACGTTGATTCGTATCTGCCATTTTGAACAATACAAGGAGATGGTATGGAGGCTTGTAATGCTGCCTGTAGTTGGTCAGCTTTCTTCCCGGTTGACCAGAGGACAATATCATCAGCATATAGCAGTTTGCGACTCCGAAGTGAGCTGGGCAAATCGTTAAGATAGGCCATGAAAAGGATACATGAGAGGGCGGATCCCTGGGGTGTTTTCCCCACTTAGAGAGTACTGGAACTGTGTTCGTCTTTTCCTCTCAGGAACTGTTTTATCCAGTTATAGGTCCGCCCGTGTACGCCCATGGCTCTAAGCTTAAGATAGAGGCCTTGCTTCCACACCCGGTCATTAGCCATTTTTAGGTCTATTAATACTGCATATGTGCTATCGGCCCTCTGGAACCCATCGGCCACCTCCTGCATGAAAACTGTGACCTGGTCAATCGGGCTCAAGCCTGCCCTAAAGCCAGCCTGCTCTGGCGCTCGCTGACCATACGTTCTACTATCTTGCCGATAGTGGAGGTCAGGGATATGGGTCTGTAGGACTCAACGTTAGTCGCGTCTTTGCCCTTTTTTTAGTATTGGAACAATGGTAGCACAGCGCCAGGCCCTGGGTAGTCTGGACTCTACCCAGATCCGGTTCGCAAACTCAAGGAGCTTGTCTTTCGCAACACCCCCGAGGTGTTTTACTATCTCAGGAGTAACCTTGTCTGGCCACGGAACTTTTCTGTTTTTGCATTTAGCATTTGCATTTCATCTGTCCTCTTCCGATCCATCCGGCTCCCTCTCGAGTCTTTTACGCTCCTTGTTGAGGGCTATAGACGTGGCTGTCTTCTTTTCGGACTTGCTTATCGAAGCGAAATAGTTGTTAAGCAAGTCGGCCATTTTTTGATCTTTTGCCACTCGATCCCTACTGGGTGACAATAATGGGGTGGCTGTACGCGCCGAATCTTTGGCCTCAAGATTGCAAAGAAGACGCCAGGCTTTGGAGGTATCCTGAAGATCTAGCCCGGCACAGGCATCCCTCCAGTGGTCCGCCCGTACACGTTGGGCCACCTCGCTGGCCTTCCGGCATAATGCATTGAACTCCCTGCGGCATTCGGGAGTCCCCTTTCTTTGTGCTCTGCACCTTGCCCGTTTCCTGGCCCTGACTATTCGGTCTAATTCTCGGGACCAGGCGGGTCAATGCCGTATGCCGGGATAGGTCCGCGGGATATACTTCCTAGCCGCACCCAAAATCGCTGCAGTGATTTCGCCGTATTTGGTGTCGACTGTCCCTTCCTCCACCGCGATACACGACAGCCGCCCCGTAAGCTGGCCAGCCTTAGAGTAGCTCCATTTTTTGGGCCTTTTAGTGGCTACACCCCTGGCCTCTGAGAGCAATAGCGATTTCAATGGGCCAATGATCATTTCCAACGTCCTCAAGCACATAAATTGTGGTTTTCCCCTCTAGATCTGCAGAGATTAGAGTTAGATCAGGTCTCGACAGAGACCGTTGCCAGTGTGTATGAGGGTTGGCGGGCTATGTTTATTTTCCAGGCAAAATAAATTCGTAGACTTTTTGGCCCGAGGAGACTTGGTCCTCAGACGGTCCTCAGCTAATAGAGTTTTAGAAAGAATATTCTTAATAACACTAATGTTTTGGCGGGTTATAGCAGTTAATGACCGTAAGTTTTCTACCAGCTTTGAATAAATCAAGCGAGATGGCATCGGTACTCCCGCTTTGAGGGCCAGGATTTTGTGAGTCATGCCGTTTCTTACATATGTGATAATTCCACGGCACTCATCGCATTTACATTTATAGGTCGCTTCTTGCCTACCAAAGTCTCCTGCAAGAGCGCGATGTCTATTGCCCTCTCGTGGAGGAGTTTTGTGAGCTCTAATATCTTGGGTATTAATCCACAGATATTGCGCTGAAGTACTTTTATCTGGCTAAGTTTATATCGCTCCCTAAGGGTTTAGGACTGGAAGCGACAAACCGTTGTAATGGTTGGTGTTTTGGAGGACCGATGGTCCTCGCTTCATAGTCGGTTGGGCCTTTTGGGTGGTAATAGTTGGTTTGGCCTGGTGCGGGACATGATCACCAGTGTAGCCTGGGAAAAGGGCTTTTTCCTGAGAGGGGGAACCTTCGCTAATTTATCGTGGTTCGACAGGTTTCGACGGATCGGAACCACGGGGCGAGTAGTATTTTTCGTTGTCGGGCCTGCCGCCCACTACCCGCGCGACGGAGCCTGTTTGGGTCCGCTCGTACATGGGTTTTATGGTTTGATGTGTAATATTCATGTTTGCATAGAAGTCGAAGACGGTTGGCGCCTTAGTTATTGCCGATTAGAAAGTAGTGTACACAGGGCCTGCAAGAGGGTCCGAGATCTTAGGGTGCGGGAAGTCCGCACCACTGGTCACCACCTCCGTATGGCTAGAGCTCGCTTACGAGAGGAGTGGTTGTGTGAGGATTGCTCGATATCCCCAGTATCGAAACTGCTTATTGGGAAGCGCGTTCCTCTACTACCTCACAGACGGGCTAGTTAGAGCCTATCTCGTGGACGCCAACCAGTCCGCCCGACTAAGTCAGTCCAGTCTTTGCCCAAAGAGAGACCCGCGAATCAGCCGAGTCCCAGGAGAACCCGACCAACCCTCGAGTTGGTGTCCAGCGCAGTCCACTTTTCGGTGAACCCGTGAGTCTCTTACTAACCGTTGCCCCGGGGGGGGGGGGGGGGGCTGGACGTAACCCCTTTGATTTCCTTTTACACTTGCCGGCTGCTCATTCATCAGCGGCAAGCAACCAGTACTCTTGGCCACTCCAATAGAGCGGAGTGTTCACCCGACGACCACGATGAGGTGGTACTGGAACGCCGAGCTCTCCAGTAGCAGACCAGCCTACTGTTAATCATTCTTTCCATGGTTTTGCAGATGCAGCTTTTTTGTGCTATTGGTCGATAATTAGCTGGGTCAGAGCCGTCTCTTCCCGGTTTAGCTATCGGTATAACTGTGGCTTTCCTCCAGCTGTTTGGGAAAGCGCCTGTTTAGTATAATAGCAGGACTGCCAATGAGGGTTTAGGAAGGTGCTTCAGGAACTGGTAATGGATTTCATCTTCTCCAGGCGCTGTGTCATGTGGCTTGTCTAGCGATTCCCTCAGTTCCTCAAGCGAGAACGGTTTGTTGTAGTCTTCATTGTTCTCTGATCTGAAATCAATGGGGTGTCTTTCCTCCCTGGTTTTGACTTATTGGAACTCTGGCGTGTAATGTGTAGTGGATGACTTTTCTGCTATTGAGGATGCAAGGCAGTCAGCTATTTCTCTGGGGGACGTGACAGTTCGTCCTTGGTTTTTCAAATGCCCTATTTGATTCTTTCCCTTTGATTCGCCTTACTGCCTTCCAAAACGCTCTAGCAGAAGTTTTGGCATCCAGACTGCCGACAAAACTTCTCCAGGAATTCCTTCACATCTTTCACATGGATACAGACTACACTTGATGCTCTCTCTGCATCTTCAACATTCTTGCTGTAAGCACTGTAGCTTCGGAAACTGATGCTATCTTTCAGAAATGTTTCCTGTAAGCAGCTACAGGAGTCCATCAGTAGCTGCATTTCCTCATAATTGGCCTTGAGGCCTCTACAATTCCACTGTACAATTCTGGAGTCCATGGCTTATGCTAAATGACCTACTTGGAGCTATTTGGCCTCGGGATGCCCCCGGAGGGGTTTCCAGTGACCTTAGAATTTTTAGTCTTGGGTTTGGGAGGAGGACACCCCCCTTTTTGGGGAAGTCTTTCTCTCTGGAGAGGGGAGATCCCTCTGGTTAGAGCGGAGGTTATTTCCTCCTCCCTCACCTTGGGCATCCTCTCCGCTTTGATTTCTCCCCTTAGGGAGATAACCTCTAATACAGTAGAGGGTGTCTGGCTGGGTTCTCTGAGGACATGATGTCTCCAGGTTCTCCCGGAGTGTTGGTTTTGACATGCTGTTCAGTCTCCATGCTCTCATCAGCGAGTATAGAGAACCTGTTCTTTAGCATGACAACAGGGCTTTCTTGTCTCTTTGGAGGTGTTTTCTTTGGTGGTGTTTTCTTCAGAGTTGGAGGAAGAGGAGGGGGTGGTGGGGTCAATCTGTCAGTGTGGATCTTCCTATCTTAGCAACAGGCTGGGCATAGGTCTTTGTCAAGCCGAATAGGCCCTTGAGTAGGGCCAATACAGCCGATTTCACCTGGCTGAATGTACATCCATTTCTTGCCTTGTACTCCTGCACAGCGACCTCCTGTTTCCACACAGGGCAGTCCTTGGAGTAGGCTGGGTTGTCAGCGTGAAAGTTTGGGCATTTGAACTGGGCCGTGCAGCCCTTGTCCTCATGACCCTCTCCAGCACATCTGGGGCACACAGTGTTCCCCTTGCAGACTGCCACTCCGTGTCCATAACCCTGGCACTTGAAGCACCTCACCTCATGTAGGGCCTCACTGGAACTCGTAGGTATCCTGCCATTCATATACTCTTGCGGTGTCCTAGTTCCGAATGTGAGGATAATAGCGGCGGTTTTGACCTCCTCACCATCCCTGCACCTGGTAATGCGCCTGGCATGGTTGACTCCTTCAATACCATTTCCTTTATGAAACACTCATCAGAGTGTGTCTTGCTATCTACTTCTACAAGAAGTTCCATTGACTTGTGTAGCTTAGACACACTGTTGGGCTCTCCCACTACTGACTTGAGCCCCTTATAGATAAGAAAAGGGCTCAGCTTTGTCAGACTTTTCACCTCCTCTGTGCACCTGACCACCAAAAATGATGGCCAGTAGTACAGCTTTTTGTGGTCTCTTCCTTTTTGTCTCAACACGCCGTCTCTTTCCCAGATTTTAATCTGGGGCAAGTAGTTTATTGTTTTTTTTTATCCATATATATTTTCTTGATAGTTCGGCACCTGTGCTCCCCACCAGCCATCGAGTCCAACAAGGGGACGGGCCATATAGATGTCCAGAATGATCCCTCCAGGGCTACACAGGTGCTATAAGTCAGCTGCTGCATCGGGCATGTGTCCGATACAGCAGCTCCCTGATTGACCCTCCAGCCACCGCCCTCGACCTATGCTGGTAGCTCGGCATGACCATCCGGTTGACCCAGGGTGGGACATTTGGGCCATATTTTGCAGGGCCAACCTAAGGCAATAGCAACATTATGTGACCGCAGTGGGCCCTGCATGGTTATAGGACCAGCGTTAATTTTAGATGTATAAATTATTAAATTAAACCATTTTATAACTTATAATGGATTTCCCGCGGTCTCCTGTCGATTAAACAGGAGGTCCTGGAAATCTGAAATTGCGAAATATACGAAAAAGTGCTGGAAAATATCCGGAAATTATTAAAATCTTTTGAAAACTCATACAAATCGCCTGAAATATATAGACGAAAATTGTCATTTTGGGGTGTCATTCAATATGGAAAACGCCACTCCTACGCGCGTTAAATGAAACAAAAAAAAAGGCATTATGCATAACCCACAATTGTGGAATCTAGTGAAAGAAGCTTCTCAAGCCTCAAACTAATGAAGAATTACTTGAGATCAACAATTCTCGTAGATAGATTGAAACTGGTTAGCTCAGGAAAACCAGTTACTTGGCAGAATTTAATTCATTGGCCAATCGTTGGCCAACGATTCATTGACAATGCATGACTCGTAGGACGTAATTATCTTCTATATTGAAGTAACGTCTGTATTATATAACATAAGAAGATTTGGTAATTTTTGCTATTGAGCGTGATCTATGTAGGAAATAGATGTACTATATGACTTTGCTACATGCAGGGCTCGTAAAGTAATTTTGTACGTAGTAAAGGATGAATAAAATGCAAAGACGAATTTATTTTCTTATACAAACTCTTAATTTTCACTTATCCGTATCCGTACCCAAGCTTGGCCCCGCGAAATCCGTTTCGCATTGGGCTCTACAATTTTTAAGTCCGGTTCAGCTATTTAGTGACGGATGAGTACTACTTGCTCTTCGCCCCCCCTTTTTTTTTCGCCTTTAAAATTACCTAGGATAACTCCCTTTGTTCGAGTTGCAAAAATAAAAGAGTGATCTTTCCATGGTGTCAAAACTCTTGAGCGTTCTCTGTCACCTCGATAGTTACTACTGTGTAGATTACCCCCCCCCCTTTTTTTTTAACGTGAGAAATTAAAACAAAAAAAAAAAAAAGTTTTTTTCTCTTTTTTTTTTCTCGTGAACTATCCGCAGAAATAGAGTGAGCTTTCCTTTACTTCTCGTTTAAACTGTTGAGGGATACGCTGCTATTTTGCATAGCCGGTCTAAGGCCACTGCAACCTATGCGATCCTTTCAAAGGATCCGCACTTTCATAGGACCCGCTCTAATTCAAGGTGTATACATTTTTAACTAAACCATTTTATAACTTAACTTTTATAACATTTTCTAATACAAACTCTTAAATTTCACTTATTATCCACATCCATACCCAAACTTGGCCCCGCGAAATCCGTTTCGCATAGGGTCCCACAATGTTTGTCCGGTCCTGCTATTTACATATAGTAGATTAATTTAGATTATTTCCTTGTCCAAACCTCCTGCAAGACACAGGGGGGTGGGAGCGGGTAGGGTTTGATACATTTAAACGACAGTCATCCAGTCATCCGTAGTGTGAATACTACTCTTGTTTTCTCGTGGACAGAAATACTTCTTACTACTCGACAAACTCTTGAGGGAAGAAAATAATTATATATATAGATAGTGTAGGCTGGGTGTTTCATCAGGCTTTTTAAAATATATAATACCCGCATTTCAAGGAAGTTTTCGGTCTTGGCAATTTTCTCCAACACTGACATAAAAAGAACATCTAGGTCTAAAGGCTGTAACCGGAATATCCAATATCCATGGGACAAGGTGGGGTTGGCCAATGGTCCATTCTACGCCATCCACAGGGCTCTCCAAATGAAACTATTCTGCAGTAGAAAGCTTTAGGTGGACTGTGATCCAGGCCGCTTCACGCTATCCCATTCACCAGATCCAGAAAAAACAACTTTATGATAGCTTTATATCCAGTAGTAGAATGTAGTGAGACATAGACCTCCGACTGGAGTAATGCAATCCAGACCTCCGTGAAAAAGCTTTCGCTTAGTGAAATGCAAGTGGAAAGGCACTGGGATTATTTATTACTTATTTCCAAGCCCCGATACCCACACGGGGGAGTATCGCCACAAAGTGGAGGTTTTAATTCTCCAAGATGGGTTGCGTTCTTAGGCTGACATGCTCCATCAACTTCTACTTGCAATACATTTTCATCTACTTTGTTCATCATTATGTTCCTGCACATGTTTCCCATCATGTTCAGTTGTTCATCAAATGCATCCACAAAGTCCTTGATCTTGCCAATGAACTCATCAATCCCAAGTTCAATTTCAAATGTGTAGGTCTCCGGATCTTCTCCATTGATCGGGCTTGCCGCA